GTCTAATAGCCCATAGTGGTTCGAGGAGTACCATATACTGCCCAAGAAGCAGAACCTGCAAATCATTCTATAAATCCCATATACCCCTGGAGTCTATCAGGCTCGCCCCCTCTTGCGAAATCCCACAGGGGTGTGTATCTCCATGTCATCCCAGGTCCTTCAAGGTAGTTCTTTTTCGGGTTTGGTATCGTTTTTTTGGGTTAGGGTTCTTTGTAGGACTCATTGGAAGGCGTAGACAAATGCTGCAGCCCAAACCAACCCCCTTCCCCCCCCCGCCCTACCCACCCAAACCGCCAAAAACACAAACAAAACCCACAACCACCCTAAACCCCAAAACCTTAACCCTAAACCCTGAACCCTAAACCAAACCCTAAACCCTAAACCGAATTAGGATGAGTCGGGCGCCTTTCTCGATGATTTCTGGGGCTACCTACCTGCAGTCCCCCGGACTTATCTTGTAGGGTTTAGGGCTTAGAGTTTAGGAGTTTAGAGGTTTAGGGGTTTGGGGTTTAGTATTTAGGGTTCAGGGTTTGGGAGTTTCGGGTTTCAGGTTTAGGGTTTAGGGTCCAGGGTTACCAGGAAATGAAAGAAGAGAAAGGAGATGGAACCGATGACATTGTCAGGTCTGGGGACTACTATAAGGATCCATACCTTCGTTGCGTGCTCATCAATAGTAAGTAAGTAAGCGGCAGTGGGGATTGGGGCTTCTCACAAACTGGAGAGGGACTCAGGGATACACAGCCTCGACTTTTTGTTTAACTATGCTATAGGGTACCTCAAACGGACCTTGAAATTATGTTGAATATCATGCTGGTATTTTCCAGGCCCCTGGGGTAGGCAAAGTTCCTTTCGCAGGCCTGAGCACGTGGTGCTTGACGCGGAGGGAGCGGGAAGCACTAAAATCTAAACCTGTGTGGACGCGCCTGTCAAGAAAGAAGCCAGGCTGTAGTCAAGGAGCTTAAAACTAAGTTATGGGAACGCCTTATATGCTATTTACTAGGTGTCTGTTTCAATTTAAACTGTTTCAATTTCAAGCCCCAAACCCTAAACCAGCACTTCAGAAAGGGCAGGTGGCGGTTGTTTTTCTGGAAAGGGTAGGAGGGAACGAGGGTTGCAAACGCGGTTTAGGGTCTATAGTCCCTCTTAAGTAGATAGAATATGGGCTATATGGGGATCTTATTCTAATATACCCAAAGCCATATTTCATCAAGGGGGACTGTAGAGTTTAGGGCTGCAAGCTTCTTGAGGAAAGACGTATTGGAAGTTTCCGGGATCCGAGTAGGGGTGCAGGGGAAATGAAGCCACGAAGGGTCTGAGATGTTGTTAGATAGGGAACACCCAAGTAAGAACATGGTAATTGATTCAGGATGCAGGATTTGGGGTTTAGGGCTTAAGTGTTTAGTAATATTGCTGCCTAATCCCTAAACGCTACAGCCCTAGAACAACCCAGCTTCCATTTCATTTTGCATGTTGTTCCCCATAGGTTTCTCCATCATTTGGGCAATCTCCCTAGACCCTGAGCTGTGGGCTGGGTAGGAAGCTTGTCAGTTGGAGGTCTGGGATTCCACCTTTCCAAAGCAAGAAGCACAGACCCAACACCAAAATGTAGGTGCCTTGTTAATTCATGCGGGGTCCTTGAGTAAATCTTAGTATAGCTATGTAGGGATTATAGTGCAACGTTATTGCCAATCATTCAGGCAACTTCTACGTATGGGTTTGAGTAAATGTATATCGCTGAAGGACATGTTAAAGCTTATGTTTGTCATTGGGTTTAGGGCTTAGACCCTCAAACTTTGAACCCCTAAACCCTAAACCAGGATTCTAAGCACAGAGACAGTACCAACCTAAATTCGCCCGTGTGAACCCTGAAGCTGTGAACCTTGGAGCCTGCAATTAGTCAAAACCCTGCACCCTAAACCCGAAAATGAATGCCCTAGAGCCCTCAACCTCGAACCCTAAACTCTAGACCGGAATAGTTTCAGGCAGGATTGAAAACCCCAGACTTTTCGGTGTGCTTCGATTTTAGGGTCAACGCCCAAACTGTAGGGTTTAGGTTAAGGGCAAACAGATGGAATATCGGATCCCCCAACCCTGAACATTAGAATTGCTGGAAAGGCACCCACCCCAGGCATACCCTTCCGATTCTGACGTTTTGCGGATCAGCAGTGCTCTATTTGCAAGGTTAGAAGTATATGGGCCCCTAATATGGGCCCTTAGGCCTTTGAGGGGGATTCTAGGGACCCTTAAGGGTACATGTAGGGTATGCAGTAGGTATATATAACGACCCCCCCAACCCCCCACGTGTCCTCGTCTCGTACTACAACACTCTCCCCCTACATGACCCAACCGCAAGCTAGGCCCTAAACCCTAAGCCCTAAACCCGATAAGCCCTCAGCCCTAAACCTTAAGCCTCAGGCTGTAAACCCTAAGCCCTAAACCCTAAACCCTAAAGGCTAGGCCCTCAACTCCGACTGCCAAGCCCTATAAACCTGAACCCCTTAGCCCAACATGTATTTCTCCATCGAAACTAGGGGCACCATTTAGGGTTTACGGTTTGGGGGCATTGCCCAAATTAGGATACCTTCAAAAGGATATAGGGGTTGTTAAGGGGGGGCTTAGGGTTTACGGGGATTACCCGAATAGGGGTAGTACTTAGGGTCCTTGCGATAAGCATGATAATATATCTGGATCTACATTGGGGTCCCCCTGTTTATGGAAAGTACCACATATCTGATATTACAACACTCCCAGAAAACAACTTAATGCTGGCAAGTGGGGCACGAAGGAATGAATCCCTGTGATAGCTCCGACCCCTAAGCCCTAATTTGCACGTTGTCTTCCTTCATTCCGTACTAAACCCTGCACCCCAGACTCTAAAACCCCAAGCCATGAATCCCTAAACCCCTGAACCCTAAACTGTGATCCCTAAACCCTGTGTATCCGTACATGATGCCTATTGACCCCTTCAATCTGTGTTCAACTGGATGCTTTTCAACCTTAAGCCCTTTAAATGAATCCGCCAAGCTCGACAATTGGACATCCCTCTCCTTTGTGAATTTTCCTTCTGCGCGTGCCTGGCATGCGGCTGCCACCGGCCGAAACAAGGGCCATGTGAGGGATTTGGGTTTAAGGTTGAGGGATGTTTAGGGTTTCATTTATGGACTTGGACCCCCAGGACACTAGTTACTGTTGCAACCGCAACTACAACATATGTAGCCCTATTTTTGATCCTCTTAAGGAACATGATAGGGGTTTCCCTAACTACAAGTAGGGTTCGGCAAGGGCCTGTTGTGAGACCGCGCTTTTGTGTATTCAGAAGAATTTTTCTTGAAATGCACAGGCACCTTCCAAAACCACTGCACGCATCGATGCTTTGTCACTTCTTAAAGATTTTTTTTGCGGATTTATACCCGCAATGTCTTTCATACCTTTCTGGATAATGCTGTGCCCGACTCTGCAAAGAAGCTTTAGCAGGATTTTCTGGTATGCAAAAAGAATTAACGCTGCAGTGCTCCTGCTGCAGATATCAGCAGCGATGGCGTATAAGTCAAATCAGGATCGCCATTCTCCTATCCCGCCACAGAACATGTTTTGTGAATACCTTTCCCAAGCTGTTCTGCTTCCGTGCCTCCGTGGGAAGCCCTTAGAGCTGGAGATCTCAGCTTGCATTCTTGTGCCTTTTCTGTCTTCTTGTCCAAGCAAAGCACGAAGGGTTTTTGTTTGATTGCATGTGACCTAGCTAGTTGCTCTTGGATTGCTATTCTACTCAGACTGGTTCCTGTTTTCTGGCCAGGTTCCTACAGTACCCCTTCCATAGGGGAAAGGAAATGTGTAGGCCATTCCTGCAGAGCATTTGCGCCGAGGCTTGCTGTGAATTATTCTCTTTAGAGCAGAAAGTTAGGCTCATGGTCCTTTCTGGAGGAACAGAATACTCCATGTTGGGTACCACCGAGATACCTAGCGAGGCCTCAAGTTGATACCACATTGTGGGTTACGGGTTCAGGGTTGCCACAGATCTGAAGCAAGCCTCAGCTCGAAAGGTTTCGTGAAAGATTTGAGAAGCGGGGATTGTAGAAGTACAGTACGATGTCGCAGAGCAAATGCGAAGAAGGGGAATGAACGGCTCGGCTTGCAAACCGAAACACCTGTGCTGAAATGAGGGCTCTGTTCAACAAAGGGAGGATTTCTCGAAAGCGAAAACAGGAAGCATATCAGCCGAAAACCCGATTCAACCCAGACAGCTTTATACACCAAAAAAGTCGAAAGCTGAAGATATGTTAAACCCTAATTCGTAATGAGCCCTGCAGCAATAGTTTCCCTAAACACTATATTAAAGCCTATGGTTACGTAGACCAAGTTCGGTTCGAGTCTCCGGGACTCGAGGAATTTAGGACCAAAAAAGTGCAATCAAGATTCCAACAACAATATAACCGACACCCAAACAAGGGTTTAAGGGTTTATGGTTTTGGGTTTGTTAGGGTTTGTGGGGCCGCGGGGGGGGTGGATAAATCAACGAGCCATTCTAAATTTCTGAGACCTCTAGACTCCAGTTGGCCAGTTGTTTTCGATACGGGTTATCCCTAGATTATGGGGCCAGACCGCGTTTGCTTTGTGATTTGTTGCCGTTTTAACCATCAATTCGTTCCCCATACATCCAATGATTTAGCAAGTTCTGAAGAAACGGGCTCTGCCCAAGCGCTGAATAGCTCATGCTTCACGGATCTAAAGGCTCGAAAGGGGGTCGCAAGGACAATTGGGAAAGTGTCTTTTTCAGATCAGGTGTGGGAGGTTGTGTTATTGGGGTTGTATTATGACTGAGTAGGATTCTGTCGTTGGTCTTGCTGGATGAGGACACCTGGCTTGTTAAGCACACAAGAGCTGAATGCTGTTGCCCCTGGCCTTCCACAGCCTTTATGTGTACCCTGCTCAGAGGCATGGAATTCAAACGGTTCAAGACTTGTCCCAAGGTCTCAAGGCCCTGCTCCCAGCTTGCCCAGGTCATGTCCAACGACAACCGCATGTATGTCATGGGTGGCACAGCGGACACACCGCCTGCGTTCGACTTCAACTTTTTCGATGCTACGGCGGGGTCTGCGGGTTTCCGGCCGGGTGGGTTTCCTAGGGGTAGTTAGTTGGGAACGGAGGAAAGGAACAAGTAGCCCCCGATCACCTATACATGGATCCCGCAAGTAGGTAAAGTCATGGCCCACAACCCCTCAAAAAAGGACGAGGAGGCCTCTATTCTACACAACTTGGGGTTCGGGTAATAGTAGTTATCCTACTTGTAGAATCACTTTTAACTACCCATGGACCTTCTGGTCAACCCTTCAAAACCCAAACACCAAAACCCTAAACCCTAAACCCTAGCCCCTAAACCCTCATCCCTAAAACATAAGACCCTAGATCTTGGACTTCACCTTCAAGGCAACTGAAGGTGGCAACCCAAGAACGTAGGGGGTTAGGGTTTAGGGTTGGCAACTGAGCTACTGCTCGAATACTGCCCCACTCACCGGCAGTTCGAGAATCATCATAATGTGACCCTAGACCCGAAACCCTTCAACCCTAAACCCTAAACCCTTAAACCCCTAAACCTTAAACCCTGAACCCTTAATCCCTAAACCCTCACCCTGAAACCCCTAAAACCCTTAAACCCCTAAACCCTTAAACCCCTAAACCCTTAAACAGATTTTCTTGGTGTGGACTGTGGCTGGGAAGGGGCAGTACCCTAGCTAATACATTAAAAGGGGTTTAGGGTTTAGGGTGTAGGGTCTAGGCCTAATGACTAGGTACCCCAGTAGTACCCTTTTGCCCCCTTTTTTTGGGGGGGTCTCCTTGTTAAAGCTAACCAGTAGGAAAAAGGGTACCCTTATTAGTAATGGTCACTGGGGAACCTAGATGAGGTAGAATGACGGACATGAAATGGAAGCTGGCTTAAAATGGGAGCGCCTGTAATTAGAAACCGTGAGCCCTGTTTTGGGACGAACCCCTTTGAAACATCAATGTCTTGAATTTCTATACGCCTAAGCCCTAAACCCTAAAACGTGTCTGGGGTTCTCACGCTGTTTGTATCTTGGAAATTGGCCGTTAACCAGAGAGTTTCCTGTTGCGGATCATGACTTACGGTTTAGGAGTTTAGGGTGTAATAATGCCAATAGGCCAATAATGCCAATAATGCAAATTGCGTAGCTGTTGCGTGCCCAAACTCTGAGTCTTCAACCCTGAATGCCTAACGTTACCGTCAGAAACAATATCACCAACAAACTCTAAGCAGACAGTTGTGTTCCATATCTTTTGTTCTGACACCTGACCTCTACGAAGCAGCGGGGAAGGCCTACAGCCCACGCAGTAGCCTTTAGAGAGCTCTTGATTGGGTTCCATGTGTGTTTGTGGAGGGGCAATGCTGTAGGCTAAAGGCTGAGCCTTACTCTTGATGCCTGGGGCCCATAAAAATTTCTTCATGACCTCCACAACTGTCATATAACTACCCCTCCCCCACCCCTCAAGCTTGTTGTAGCAGAAAGGCCCCCACATGACACCTGCAGGCTCTCGCTTGGAGTGGTCAATTCTTTGCCACTGGTGCAGTCCCGGAATCACGCTTCCAGCACACAGCCGTGTTGACGCTTCGGTTCAGAAGCGGATTGGGAAGTCTGATTCAGGGTTTGTAATGATTCGTGTTTCGGGCTTGGGGTGACAATTTGGAATAGAAAATGGGAACCACCATAGTATACAGTATTGGGGTTATATAGGGATAATGGAAAAGAAAATAGAAACTACTATAGTATATTGGGGGGGTTCTCAGGGCGTAATTAGGGTTTAGGGATTGTAGAGACTGGGGGTGAGGTTTCAGCGAGCAGAGGTTAGGTTTTGGATACGGTTTTAGGGTTTGGCGTGACAAAAGATCAAAGTCTCGGCTATCTGGCAACCCAACCCACATCAAGGCGCCTACAGCAGTCATAATGCAATAGTCAGGATCCTTATCTTTGGAGACTGGGCTAGCCTTGTTTAAATGGCTGCGCGGGTTTGGGGACTTTGGGCAGTGTGCGTGTAGTCTAAGAACGAACATGGGTCCTTGACTTTTTCAGAGGGCGTCTAGGTGCCCTCCAAGGTATTCATTTGCGTGTATATACATACCTACATACCCTAAACCCTAAACCCTAAGCCCTAAACCCACATGTACGGTAAGTACAGGTACTGCGGACCCCAAGATGATGGAGATTAGACTATAGATCGTATGAGGCTATGCCTTGTGGTTTTTAGAGGTCAATCTGCATACAGCCCTCTTTATTCCTACCCTGAGCCCCAAACCTCGAACTGTAAACCCAAGCCCTAAACCCCAAGCCCCAAAACCCCAAACCCCAAACCCTAAACCTTGAATGTCGCCTCCAGGATCGGCGATTGCATATACATTTATGGCGGCCGTTATGATTCGACGTGGCTGAGCCGCAACTTGAAATAGCGCTTCGGCTTTAGGGCTTTGGGTTGGGTTGCTAGGTACTACTTTGGAGGTTGCAATTCTAGCTCAAACATATATCCTAAACCCTAAAACCCTAAACCCTACACGCTAAACCCTAAACCCTAAACCTTAAACCCTTAAACCCTAATCCGATACGTATAGCCGACTCATGACCATGGGAGGAGACTACGGGGATCATGAAGTTATATTGGGGTTATATTGGGGTTATATTGGGATAATGGAAAAGAAAATGGAAACTATTACAATAATGGGGTTATATAGGGTTTAGGGTTTAGGGGGTTAAAGGTACAAGTTTACTTGGGCTAGAGCTAGTTCCCCTGAACCTCCAAATAGGGCCTTGGAATTGAAGGGTGAGGTTTAGTGATTTCAAGAGTTGAGGGTTGTAGACTTAAAGGTTTAGTTTTTCAGTTTTTTTTAGGGTGTAGAGTTTCAGGTTTAGGTTGCCTGACCTCACTCCAAATGCTGGCGGAGGACATGTGAAGAAACGGCTTCAGCCTGTGAAATTGAAATCAGTGCATTCTCATCCCGTTTGGTGGCAATCGCCTCCCCGTAATGATACGCTCACCAATTGATGAGACGTTTACCCCATACGAGTTACATCATAGCTACAGTATCCTAATTTCTTTGGGGGCGGGGATGGTTATCAAAGCTTCATACTAAGAATCCCATCAACCCTAAACCCTACCAGCAGCATTAACTACTCAACCGGGGGGCTTTAGATTCGGAACCACCACTGTCCGAAGAACGCCTTCTTTTTTAACAGCTTTAGCGTAGGAGCTGGTTAGGAGGCAAGTAATGATGAATTAGGGGTTATGTTGTTTGTTGTTCTTATCTGGGGTGGGGGGGAGTTAAGCTTGTTACTGCTGAATGAATGATAAAGAATCAGAGATCTCCTCTGTTTCCTCTTGTTTGGCTTTTCGAATGTAAAAGACTCTAGCAAACATCTAGCTTTGATCTCAGGATCCCCTTTGTTTCGTAGGCGTGAAATTATTGGGTTCATAGGCTTGTGATAGAGGAGTTGGTGGTTTCACATTTTTGTTTATTTATGAGGGCTTGCAGCTGAACTTATGCAAACGAGTTTCAATAGACTCTGACTCCAACATATTTCAACCAAGGACCTCTCGGGTCTTGACTGCTTTAGGGTTTAGGGTTTAGGGTGTAGATGTTGAAGCACTTAGAAGAACATGCTTGTCTTTATCTGGCCAAAACCCTAGTTCCTCAACCTTACATCCTCAATATCCCACCGGCAACAAGAGATACTGATTAACCTTAAGCCGTAAGGCATTGCGCCCTGGACCCCAAAACCCTAGACCCTGCCCGTCGGGCCGTCAAGCCTGCGTACTGTACCTGCCACGGCAATTAAATGTGGAGGGCATATATTCCTGCATGACCCACCTTGTGCCTTTGGAAGTCTGGCATTGTGGTATACTGAGGACATACAGGGTTTTTGTATCAACAGTAACTACTACCCAAGTAGAAAATCCCTAAACCCAAAACCGAGTTAGAATTTTATGTCCATGTCCCCTTGTAAGTCAACAGGAATCAAAGAGCACTTTTATCGGTATGTATGCCACTATAATTCCGATCTCTTTATTTCAACTACTACTACTACTACTCATATCCCAGTCTTGCATCTATAGATCATCGGACCTGAGATGAAGAGCATGTAGCAAAAATGTTGCGCGGGAAACAACTGGTCGTTCCCCGCGACGTGGGAAACGACCGGTCGTTTCCCGCG